ACGATCATTTTTTGGTTTTAGCTCCACTTCAACAAACTCCACTTTTGAAGAGCTTTTTTTGGTTTTAGCTGCACTTCGACCATCTTCACTATTGACGGGAATTTTTTTGGTTTTAGCTTCACTTCAACAAACTCCACTTTTGAAGAGCTTTTTTTGGTTTAAGCTCCACTTCAACCATCTTCACTACTGACGATCATTTTTTGGTTTTAGCTCCACTTCAACAAACTCCACTTTTGAAGAGCTTTTTTTGGTTTAAGCTCCACTTTGACCATCTTCAATATTGACGATCATTTTTTGGTTTTAGCACTTCGACCATCTTCACTATTGACGAGAATGTTTTTGGTATTAGCTTCACTTCGACCAACATCACTTTTGATGAGTTTTTTTTTCGGTTTCAGCTCCATTCCGAAGCTTGTTGACTGGTTTGCACCAGTAAGTAAGTGTATTCGAAACTCAGCATGAGTATAGAAGACAGTTGTGCCATCCTAGCTACAAAATTAATTTCGACAAATTCCTCGCGAGATTTTTAAATGATCGATTTCCAGTACCAAAAGTTTGATACTTGATAGTCGTGGAAACGCGTGCCTCCCTGTCAAAAGATGGTTTGCAAATATAGAAATGCCCTTCACAATCAAGAAACTACAACTACTCCTATGTTCTTTCATTCTTCGGGACAATGATCTCCCCGTTTGGCCAATATGAATTTCCGGGCAAGAACCACAAGCCTGAAGCACAGAATAAGTAGAATTTAGTTAGTATGAAAACACTTCATAAAGCTATTGCATGACGAGTACCTCTTGTATTACATAACCGAGCCCAGTTACAGATTCCCAATCGAAAAACAAACCATTATTAGATAAAAAGTACAGTGTAGCCTCGAGCAAGACAATTACCATTTGCGTAAAGAGCGCACTTTGAATAATGACGTAATCGGCATCGTCGAAATTTCCCAGTATCGAGAGAACTCCTTATCTGCGGCGACGAAAAGGATAAACCAGTAGAGTCGCATCCACCTTGGCCATGGAGGCTGTCGAAATCGAGCAGAGCGCGTAGAGAGAGACGGACAGAGGAAATCACGTTGACGGCCGAAAAGGATGGTGGGAAGTGTCGCGGATAGTTTCGATAGTGAATTAGGCGCGATATAGTGTGCGTGCAGGCTACAAGTGCGTGGACGGTTCGCGAGCTGGAGGTTTTCGGTTGCAAGAATGACAGGATTTGAGGGTATGGGATTTTTCGTTTTTCATATTTGCTGGTTCGGAAACAAGCGTTGTTTGCTTACCACTTTAACATCAGTTGCTCATTACTTAGGCGATCTTGAACTCTGCCGGTTCACTTTTAATATAATCATTACTTGCATCCTTTTTGAATATCAAAAAGATATTTCTACAATTCAAAACCTTTTCTTAGTGTACAAATCATTTCAGTATGCATCCCCCCTAATTCACGACGAATTGACATTACTTACAGCAAAAGGGCTTGACAAAAGAAGAAGAATTTAGTGTTGCACGGTTGGCTACTCCCCTGTTTCAATGACAAACGTCAAAAATTACGTTGCCATTCTCGAAAATTTCAAATTCTCATTCATACTTTGAGTATACCAAAATTCTTCACTTGGTTGAACAATAGAATAAATAAATGTGAATATTCTTAACATCTGACATCGAATTTGACATTCAATATCCGTCAACAAATGTAGCCAGCTTTATCGTATACAATCGTCCTTACTGATTGTCGAACGATACAGTCAAACGTTCAAATCTGAATATACCGCCAGTATAACCTATAAAATCATTGTGTCAGAAAGATACAGCGGTGTTGCCAAGCATGGGTCATTATACTAATTTTGAACTTGATTTTCTTTCTTGTTAGGACAGACAGTGTAAATAAGTTGTACGATGTGGATGTACTTTATAAAAAAACTTCCATCTGGGTGAGTGCCTATTGATTTCAGTATATAGTACATAGCTAACAGCGTTATCGCCATATTAATCTTTGACTGACATGAAAAATGAATAAAATTTTGAATAATTGTGTCACTAATCTTGTTTTGGTTGTTTTTCAAATTTCGAATAAGGCTATTAAACTTATGTACTGTTTGGAACTGTTTGGAACCCTTGGTGTAGTAATGAATATTACTGGAGTTTTTTCCCCAATACCAATTCGTTATTTTTAACACTTCGACACGTGTTTCGATCACCAAGTGATCATCTTCAAAGAGGAAGATTAAAACTAGAAACTAATGTGAGCTAACCCTATTTATGCTATATCAGTAGCCCACAGATAAATCATCCAGGCGTACCAACCATACAGGTATACCAACCTAAATTAATTTTACAATTTTGCCTTATCTATAAACACTTACTATACTACTATATGGG